TCAAAATTACACCCTCGTTTAAACTTTCGTGAATAATTGTATATCAGTAGCTACAAAAATATTAAGAGACATTTTTTCTGAAATTTAATAAACGCCCCCGATTATTTGGCATGCAAATTATGCATGTTCAAGTCAAATGTACATTTGACTTGTGGTCAAAAGCGCATTTTCTAACAGCTGTTAGGGTAGGTTAGGCTGTTTTAATATGCTGATATAAGTTTTATACTTTGCAAAGTATAAAACTTATATTAATAAGCTTGGGGGGGGGGGAGGGGTCTTAATAAGCTTAATAAGGGGGGGTCTTAATAAGCTTGGGGGGGGGGAGGACATTTATTAGGAACTCGAGAGTAATTCTATTAGTTCAAAAAATACGATGACTTTGCGAAATAAAAAGTTTTCTTTTGAAATGTATTAGAATTTGTATTACTCACAATTTGTTATGTTTTGAGATTTCTAACATAAATTGTTTTAAGAATATATTATCAATGCTATGGCTCATTCTCAGAGTCACATCTTTGAAGCTGTAAACTATTATTAGTTTACAAAAATTAATGTTTTAAATATATATTATTTAAATTGTCAAAATTTTGAAAGTTTATTATAGATTATAGATTTTATTAATATATTCTTATTTTTATTTAAAAAGTATATTATTATATATTATTTATAAAATAATTTAGCTTAAATAAAACTAAAACTTGCAAATATTTGTTCTAAACGTAATTTATTTTGCTTTAAGTTTTTTCGCATTAAAAGATTTTTTTTTTCCTGTTATTTTTTTTTTTTTTGTAATTGTCTGTAATTTTGTAATTGTCTCTCATCACTCCAATTAATCTTTAGCGCAATTTTTTTTTGCTTTTTGAAATGTTCTCAAAACGACTAAAAAATCTGGCTTTTTGCAACTAAATATTATTGCTGTGGTCAGCAATCAAGAGTGACCGCTCCCGCTTCCTGACCAAACCTGCAACTAGTTTCTAAGTAGAAGTTGCTTTAAACATCATTCTTTTTCAAAATCTTAATATGTGTTGTACTTCGCAGGTGTTGTTTAACTGTAAATTTTTTCTCTGCTAAAACAGATTTATTGCACAATTTATAAAATAAATTTTTTTATCAGTCTTAAAACCAGGGTATTGTAAAACAGGGTATTTAATAATCAGGGTATTCTCTCACAACTTGATTGCTTTACTTTTGGCATTTCTCGCTCTATTAAAATAAAAAATAAATTAAATTAATAAAAGATTAATTTGTTATTTGTATTTTGAAATATGTTTTTAGATTTGTTGCATAACACTTTATCACACACTCCATTGGTAATATTATAATGCATTATTATATCAAATCAATGAAATGGAAAAACTTACAAAAAAATCCCAAATATTGTGATATCTTAAAATATTGCTATATTGCAAATCAAATCAGATGAATCAAATTTAAACAATAATCTTTCTAATCAAAAATGATTGTGAGACTTTTATTAAATAAAGTTGATATACTGTGTTATTTAAGTTTATTTATTATGTTAAAAAAAAATATCTTTAAAAATATTCTTTTATGCTAAAATTTGGACTATTACATAAGCAAATATATGCAATTAACAGTAAAATATGCATAATTATGCCATAGCAAGTTTGCCCCAAAATGCATTTTTTTTAATGCAATGGACAAATATCTTACTCACATTTAATACTACTATATATTTTTATTATATACTATATATTATTATATATACTAAAAATGTTTATATACCAAAGTATATAAACATTTTTAGTATCAGTGAGACACCATTCAAGCTCAGGTACGCAAATCATTTAAAATCTTTTAATGCGATCAAATATAAAAATGATACTGAACTTTCAAAAGAAATTTGGAGTTTAAAAGAAAAAGGTACAATATTTGAAGGCATAATAGTGGAAAATTATAAAACGTTGTGAAGCTTACAAACCAGAAACATGCAAACTTTGTCTTCATGAGAAATTAGAAATTTTATATTTTAATGGAAACAACCTGCTTAATAAAAAAGACGAAATATTATCTAAATCTCGACATTTAAATAAATTCCTGTTATCTTTGTTTGATACTGGATGCGCCTTTTTAAATTTTTAAATAAGTCTTCTCTTTTCGATCGCCTAGAACAAGCAGCTGATCTTGAATCTGATCTCACTTCAGTAATAGATTGGGGTTCACAGTGGCTTGTGAATTTCAACTCTAAAAAAACCCAATTGCTTACTGCAAACAACTACCGTAATACGGTCAACATTCCTATATTAATGAATGGCAATCCTCTTACTGAGTCGTCCTCTTTACGTTTTCTTGGATTATCGCTTACTACTGACCTTTCATGGAAACCATATATACAAGCGATTGCTAAATTAGCTTCTGCTAAGGTTGCTTCTCTTTATCGTGCTCGCCATTTCCTTACTTCTGATTCCATTCTCTACCTCTACAAATCTCTTATTCGTCCCTGTATGGAATACTGTTGTCATATTTGGGCTGGTTCTTC